CCTGAAAGGCCAAAAACTCCAAGGCTCTAACTGTGGGGTTATCATCAACAAGCTGTCGAAGGAGCCCAACCAGATATGCATCAGCCGCATCAGGGTTTTGTGTTAACATCAGCTTGGCATACAACAGAGATTTAAGCTCATCCACCGATTGCTCTTATACCATCAGAGGATCAGGTACAGGCGGTGGTGACGGCACAGACAGTTGATCTTCGACTACTAGCTCCTTCCCCTTCAACATCCTTTTGAGACTAAGGATCTGTGCTTATATGTTATTCTGAACAGCCTTTAGGGAGCCGTCCAAATATTCCCTTGACACAAAGTCTGGTAAGATCACTCCTTGATCACTTAGATTACTAGTTGAGACAACAGTTGAATAAATTGTTGTGCCTACGTTCAATATTGGCAAAATGGTAGCACTTGTAGGACTTCCGACCGGTCCTTGTGGTATATCAAATATAAGTCTAGACTTGGATCCGACGACCTATTCATTCTAGTATCACATGCATAACAAGTCTACTATACTTCATATCCTTCGATGACAAAGGATTTGAAAGATTGGTGGGCGGTTGTCAAGACAAAGGCTCGTGGCATATATGAAGTGTCTGACATGATTAACGATGTTGAAAACAATGATCATGTAGATGTAGAACAATTATTTTTCAAATCAACGAAAGGGTAACTCATACAATGTTCACATTGGAAATCAAGCTCAATGATGTTCGTCTTGCCACATGGGAGGTAAACGTACTCCATAATATTAATGAAGATGAAGGTGGAGATGAATTGGACGATGATAGTGATGATATGACGGGAAATGAAGATAGCGAGGATGAACCAGAATTTGATGACATGGATGATGATTCAAATGATGAAGATGAACCGATGTTATCTGATCATTCTTCTGATGAATAGTTTGTCTTCTGTATGCTTATTTCACAATTGTACATATAATCGCAATTTGTCATTGTCTTTTTTCATGATAGAATCTAATGTTTATTTTTTCAGGGGATGTCACGCTGAGAGCACGGTAGAGGCCGTCATGGTAGTGATGGTAGCCCCATTTCTGGTAGAGGCAGCAACTCTGCTGGCGAGCGTGACGATCCGTACGCTGATGACATCGTTGAGTTCACGGAGATCGCCCTCCGAGATTTAGATGAACAAGAGGTGACCATGGAGGCCCTAGTTTCAACAGGTTCAGGTTCGGGGAGAGGCCCCAACTATGAAATGCCGATACCCAGTCATCCAAGCCAGCGACAATATATTTCTTTGTTAGGCAACAGGTAAGTAGATGTGTATAAGACTTTGTATTACAAAATTAAATGATATGAATGTCTTTTATGTTGTAATTTTTTTTAATTGTACATGTTTAAAGATGTCCATGTTATCTGCGAGATAACGGCTATATTCAAGTCTTCATTTGCTAGTCTATGGCATAGATGGAAGGAAGTCCCTCAGGAAGCCAGCGACTTGATGTTCCAACACTTTCAGGTTGGTGTATATTTTAATATAATTATACATATAAGGTTATTATTTTTACATTGATATAAATATTGTTTATGTAGGCTAAGATCCAGTGGGAACCAGAGTTGGATGACATGGTTCGTGATTTATGGACTAAAGCCATGCACAATAGGTACTTAGATTGGATGAGCGATGCACATGACTGGGCCATGGCACAGGCCTATCCTGGTGCTCAGCAATGGGACGGTAAGGACTTCTCACTGATTAGATTACACCATCATGTATGGATCCCAGAGAGGTTTTGGCTTCAGATGATTGATCAGGTATGTATCTCTATTGTGAGATTTTTGAACAGCCATGTGTTTTGTACCGCCTTATATATGTGCTCTGTTTTTAACAGGTTTGAGAAACCGAGCCTTGGAAAATGAAATCCAGGATCAATAGGGCCAATTGGAACACACAGTTTGAGGGGGCGTCGTCTAGAGACACCAGGGGATCGATCAGTACTGCATAGCATCGAGACAAGATGGTGAGTATATAATCTTTTTTTTTAATATGTAATACGTTCTCTATGTTTACTAACAACTTAACCTAATTGTCTAATGTAGGCAAAACTAATGGGTCGTGAGTCGACTGCTACTAAGGTGTTTGAGCGCACTCACTGCACGAAGTGGAAGTTCGATCAAGGTTCGTCCAACCCGCCTACCGATTCTCCTCAATTCAGTTACCTCAAAGTTGGTAGGTATCATGTAAGTTTTCTAAAACCATTACTTTGGTTAATAAATACATTTGGTAGGTTTAAGGTAATATATTTTAATAAACATAGTGATGTTATTAGTTTGAGCTGCCACTGTTAGGCAAACGTTAGGCTAAGTAGATAGATTAAGAATGTGGCTACCATCGGTATTATTAGAATGCTTTAATTGTTAAAAACAGATATTAGGTATGTTTGATTTACAGTCGTTATGTTGCTGAAATTTCTACATATATAACCTCACCCGTTTTTGTTTTTGTGAACCATCGGAGCGATTTCAATCGCTTAGGGGTGAGTCACAGTCTAGTACCGAAAGCCCTCCCCCTGATGAGGCATCTCTATGGGAGCAGAGTGTCGGAGGACGGAGGAAGGGCCACATCTTTGGTTTCGGAACCTCCAACGATCCCTCTTATGCTATGACGGGTAGATGTAGCAGTAGCACCGGGAGATCATACGAGTCAAAAGCGGAGGTATGTTGGTTATATTGTTATATACTTTCTCATTACTTTCATTGCGAACAAATTACTAATTTTGCCGAATATTGAATATTTACAGGTAGCGGAGTTGAGATAGAAGTTGGCAAGGGTAGAGGAAGAGGCGCGACCTCTGGAGGAACGCCATCAGGCCGAGATGGAGGCCAAATAGAAGAGAAGGGTAGATTTGGAGGCCGACCAGGCTAGACACGCTGCTGCCTTAGCCGAACAGGTCGCCTTATCGGAGCATTTTCTGCGTTTATGCGGCAGTCAATATACGTTTCCCCCCTTCCCCCACCTCCCCATAGTTAGATTGTATGACTTTGAACATTAGATTGTATGAATATGATATTTTAATTGTATGAATTGATTAGTTTTAATTTGTAATTTTATAGTCAGGTTTTGTATAAATAAATACAGGAATTATGTAATTATAAATTATTTATTTTTAGATTAATAAACATTAGCGACGGATTAACGAGGGAAAATCCATCGCTAAAAGTCCCTCCTAGTCCCTCGCTGATCCGCCATTGAAAGTTTCCCTCGCTAATCCGCCGCTGAGAGTTCTCTCGCTAATCCGTCGCTGAAAGTTCTCTCGCTGATCCGTCACTCAATTGTTCCTTCGCTGATCCGTCGCTGAATTTGTTCCTCCGTTGATCCGTCGTTGAAAGGTTCCTTCGTAAATTCGTCATTGATAGCATTACCTACGAGCTTTTGACTGACGGATCAACGACATAATTCAGCAACGGGTTTGCGAGAGAATCTTTAGGTGACAGATCAGCAAGGGAATACGAGCTTTTGACCGACGTACTATCAGCGACGGATCCGAAACGGAAGATCTCTTTAGCGACGGACTAGCGATGGAATTTTCCCTCGCTGATACTCTTAGTATTAACAATTATGTTCACATATGTTAGTGAGATTACACATTTAATAAATTAAATTTATAATATAATTAATCTTAATCCTTTATTTTAAAAATCAATAGTCAGTTCATAAAGTTAACATAATAATTAAGGTTAACAAATTAACTTGCCTCGATATATATAAATATATATATATATATATATATATATATATATATAGACTTTGGATCATGTGAGACCCAGGGTTTTTCGTGAGACCCGTAAAAGCAATTCTCAACCCTTGGATTAGATCTACAATCTAAACATTAATAATCACAAAATTGCTACGAGCCTTCTCAATAATCACAAAATTGCTACGAGCCTTCTCAATAATCACAAAATTGCCACTGTACAACTTTAAACCATTAGATCATTAGCTTATAAAGTTGATTAATGAACATAAATCGGTGGTCTCACGAAAAACCTTTGCTCTTACGTGAACCCAACCCTATATATATATATATATATATATATATATATATATATACACACACACACACACACTATATTATAAAACATTTGACAAAAAAACTTTTAAAAACCATTCTTTATGCATGAAGTACTGTATATTAATGCATATTATTTAAAATTTAAGATTACAAGTAAATTGTGCATAAGTACAACTTATTAAAGTTCCATTTTTGAATTCGTATAACTAACTGCAGATAAACATAATCAAATAAAGATAAACATCTCATTTTAAATATCAAAAATCTAAAATATATTTAAGATAATCATTGAGTTCTAAAAGAATTATTATCTTTATAAAAGCCAATATCTTTATAAAAGCCAAAAATAAATTGCTTTATTAAGACCTAAATTAAATTAAGGAAATTGTTAAAAAAAACAAAAACATTTAAATAGTTAATTTGATATTAATATCGATATATTTTTTCAAATTTTTATGACATCTTCAAATTTATTTTTATTTAAAAGTAAAAATATTATCTTTATCGAAACCACATGAACCGTATTATATCAATAGAGACAAAAAAATAAAACAAAACATTAAAATGAAGATGTATCTCGCTATATTACGCGAGTATTCTTCTAATATATATATATATATATATATATTCAAATTTATATAACAATAAGGTTATATTTTATAAATAAAAAAGTAAAGTAAAGTTTTTATGGGATTCTGTTGATGGCGTAATAATTTGACAAGAAAAAAATATAGAAAGCAACGTGTCGTGTTTCATGTGTTCCAAATAAAAATTATGACAGCCACGTACAACCCACAGGGCGTGTCTCGTGTGTTCCAAATAAAAAAATAATTTCGGACTCATCTGGTATCAAATGCTTGGATACATGGCTGCCTTGCACCCATTTGTACTCACCTGGAAATCAACAAAAAACCTTGCATTCCCATCCTGCCATCATCAAAAGGTAACAACTTCTCTCTCTCTTGAAGAACATTAATTTATTTTTAATTATAATTGTTATACAAATACACTTTTACATCGAGGATACATGCGAATCATCATCTGCTGTAATCTGTGTGATATCCGATTTCATCAATACATCAAAACAAGTTAAAGAATGTGGAAGGAGTACCAGATCCATATTCGTCCCAGTTTTCTCCACTAAGCTTTTAACAGGTGAAACCTGCATCATACATATGCCAATAGATTCACTTGTGAATATTTATCAATAGGTTTCCAGATTCATGCGTCAAGAATATATATGTGTTCAGCTTCCTTAGTTAAGGAAAGTATGTTTTGGTCACTGCATTACACAAATTTATTTAGTTAATTGTCATTTTGGCAACCATAATTTTTTTTGCTTATTGAAAGGCCCCATTTGGTTAGCCATAAGCTAATTTTTTGAATAGCTAACGTTTTAATAAGCTTCAAGGACTTCTTTCCAATTACTTTTTCAACTAATCTTTTTACATCATTTTATATTGACGTCAAGTTTATTGGCTAGCTTTGACTAGTTTATCAACTATCTATTTTGTTAAACAAAGCCTTTACCTCATCCTGGTTATGTTTTTCCCATTGATTTTACTTTTCAGACTTTCCATGGAAAAAAAAAAGACAGAACAGGAAGACCTGTGCAACTACCTTTTCTGGATTTGCAAATGAATTTTCATCCTTAACGTTTGTCGAGGAGAGAACAGTTTTTGATCCAGAAGAGTCTAATAACTTACGATCGAACCCATCAATCACTATCTTCAGATCAACTGGGCTGCTTCCAAAGTTTACAACCTAAAAAACAGTATCCAAAAAGTATACATTTACATACTCGAATAGTTTTGTGGAAGCAGGATGCAGATCATACCTAAATAACAGAATATGGTAATTTTCTTAACCCACTCCAGATTTAGATAAACATTCTGACTTTCTGTGGTCAAACACGCAATTTATGAATTCAAATCTTACCTAATTATCTCTTCTTTATGTTGAAGATTAAAAGGCTTTTCCATTACAATATGTTGGGTAATGCTGTTGTTTCCCTTTAAATCGAAAAAAGTTGTAAATAGATCTCAATGCTACAAACGACTTGTTTGACAAAAAGGAGAAAGGAGGGAGTAGTTGATCTTTCTTCTTAATCATAACCATTTTAATATAAACCAAACCAAACCAAAATAAACGTACACTACTCGTTGTAAGGACTAAGGGCATGCATACCTTTCCTCTACTGCAAAGGATCAAAAGGTTGTTTTCTGTAAAGGTAAATCATCTATAATATATCAGCTATAAATACACCCCAGTTTTATTGAGAAAAATTAATACCAAAACCGAACCAATCAACCTAATGAGTCCCACACAGAGTAGGGTAGGAAGTACGCATCTACCCCAGTTTTAAAGGTGAATCTAGTACTTCTGATAGTTCAAGATTGATCCACCATTTCAGTTTCCAAAAGTACTCTGCCATTATTTCCTTGAAAACTTTGTTTCTCTTTCTATCCATTTTGAAAATAGAAAGCTACTCCTTTGACAGTCAAAAGCCAAATTAATTGGATGGAGTATGATACCAACCCAAAATACTTTCATGTTGATAGCGCACATAAGTTGTTCACCTTTATTCTCATGTAGTTTCCCTTGTCCATGGGGTTTTGAAACAGAATGGCTGAAGCCTCAAGTGAATTAGATGAATTGGCTTGGAGCGTTGACTTAAGAAGCGTTGCACCGTTTGAATCTGAGAAAAAGTGTTGCATCCAATAACTTGGCGTCCCATACGCCTGAGAAGAATCAAAAACTATTGCATCTGGGTTCCACCTTAACAAAAGAAAACACTTCTCATCATTGAAATAATCAAATATTTCATTTTGCACATAACGTTCGACTTTGATATAAACCAAACAAAACCAAATGAACCGGTATACCCCACCTGGAATCTAAATAGGTGAAAAAAAGAGAAAGCTTGCTCAAATTTTATTTTTTACATAAAAGAAAATAAGAAAATGAGTTAGAGGTAAACAACAATCAATCAGGTGAACAAACGAACAAACAGAAGCAGAGACGATAATCACAAAATATAGGAATTCTCGACACTTTATAATGATGACAATATAGAATGGAAATTTGTTAAAAATTTATGGGACAGAGGGAGCATCTTATCTACTTAAACAAGAAGACACGGAGGGACTGAAAAAATCATACCGTCTGTCATTGGTATTCACAAACAAGGGTGCATAGCTTGCCATTTCAACAATATCACTGCAATAACGATAACGTTAGAACACTACTTCTTGGAAGAGTTTAAGAAATAAGAGTGAGAATCAGTGTAACATCTCCAACATGTGAACTAAGCGCTCAACAAACCCTTCAATATTTTGATGTTATTGTACATTTTAACTATGGAAAATTCTCTTTTGGAACCTATTATGGATTTTCTTTGAGTCAAAATAATTGTTGTACAATCTCTTTGAGTCAATATATATATATATATATATATATATATATATATATTCTATTATTATATTACAAGAAGATTGAGTTCACTTATTGAACTTCCAATGTTATGTAAAGTGAGGACTTTAACGGATTTCACTGCTTTACTGAATTTTGCTCATATAGGTAAGAAAAACTTGGAACAACCGGTGATTATAATTACTAACCGACTAACTAATTTGGAAAATAGTTACAATTCCGCCCTTGTTATACAACTGTTACTTACTGCTCAACATCAAGGAATTTGATTAAGAAATGTAAGTTATGATATATGTAAGAACATGTAAGTTTGAATCAGGGAACCTGTTCTTTTCTAAGCCAATAAGGAATGCAGCTTCTGCCAGTGCTGCTAAAAGACTTCCCCTCCCAGCATCATCTCCTGTCACAGCATACTCACTCACAAAAGCCTGAAATTATCATCACAAACACAACTTTATATAAGCATGATGGACGGATGTATGTATCAAAGAAAATGAAAATTAGCAAACCTTCGGGCCAACACGTGATGTACGATCAAAGGTATTAGCCATAGAGAACACGGTGTTTGCATTTTGGTAAATCTAACCACATAAATTGAAGCCAAAAAACATATATCAGTAATTAGCAAATAAAGATCATTTCATTTGGACTATATATCCAGCAAATAAAATGAGGAGATTGACCATAGAATCTTACATGAAAATCATACATATCTGCTGGATGATCTAATTGTGCGTTTGATCCATCGCAGTTGGAGATCATTTTGATGTCTGGATAAGCTTTTCTTATTGCAGCATAGAATTTAAGGTAATTTTCTGCATGTATTAGATTAATTTATTGTTTATTATTTGTTATATAGCAAGTAGTAACATCACCACTAGCTGTAAAAAAACATGCATACCACGATAATGTGGCTTCCAACAGTCTTCATTCCCAATAGCAACATATTTCAGTGTGAATGGCTCTGGGTGCCCCATAGCAGCTCGAACAGATCCCCATGTCGAATTGGGATCACCTCTAGCAAACTCAATGCCATCAAGGGCTTCCTGGATTCATAAGACTTTATTTTGAGCATAATATATATGGAATAGTACCACAATTGGGTTCAACTACAACATGATTATGATATCATCTATTAACACGCAAGCAATGCTCTTCAATGAATTGGAGATATTAGGCTAAAACACGTAATGCAGTAATCATCTGTACCTACGATAACTTTCATGATTATGATGAGGTGTCCGTGGAGACGCTTGACTAGGGTAGCAGATTGTGCGTAAGGACTATGTGGTTTTTGTGGTAGCAAAGCACTAGGATGGTCAACTTTCTTTATTTAGTTTAGAGGTTTCTTACCTTCTAGTATGCGTTTAATGTCCTTTTCGAATTCCTTTCCTTTATTTCATTTCTCTTTCCTTTTTATCAAACTTAGGAACAATTTTCTTTTTTCAGAAAAGAATATTCTCAAAACCTTCTTACAATCACTCATCATGGTCTTGGTAAGGTCTCAAAAGATGAAATTGGATCGCCATTGATCAAACAACTTTGAGAGTTTTTCAAATAGCAAGGTCTATGTATAGCCTTAAGCAATATCAGGTTTGTTTTTATTAATATTCTCACTAGTGTGAAAGTTTGGACAAGTGCATATGGATGGTTGTTGCATCTCATATAGAGGCATGGCATGCATATTGTTTAGAATTTCTAAACTGACTTATCGGTTTCTAGTTTTAGAAACCTTGATTCAGAGGGAATTCACATGCATAAATTGGAGATTCAAGTAATTATTGGGTATTAACGTGACCAGATACTGCTAGGGCCCATGTTACCTATGTTACGTATTATGATTTCGGACTTGAATATATATGCATAAATATATCTAGGTTCAGGTTCACACACATATGTCCACCTTCAATCATTTACAAGCATATAGAATGAGAAGGGTAATAGAACATACTTGCACAAAAGGCATAATGTTGGAGGGATCGACGGACTCTTGATGGCTGATTCCTTCAGATTCCAAATCAAAAAAAGTTCAATATAAAGCTCGGACTATAATCCAAATATTTTCTACACATGTGATTCATATTACCATTGTTGAATACCCATATTGGTGATGCACCTAAATCTTCAGCCAACTGTATAAGACCAAATTATTGGAATTTGCATAAAGCTGTTTAATTGACAAGAAATATCAAATATGTCCAAGTGAAATTATATGTATATCTTGTTACCTGGAAAAATTCAAAGTGCCCAAGTCCATCATCAGTCCAGTAAAACCATACATCACCAAAATGACCTGGTCTCTCCTCCCATGGTCCAACAGTTTCCTTCCAGCGAAATGCATTTCTCAGATATTCTCCTTCAACAAAGCATCCACCTAACGGCACATTTTTTTCAAGAAAAGTATGATCTCCATAAGTAACTTTGCATAGGGAATTTCTTTCACAACATCAATCTTATTTTTGAACCCATCCATCCTAGATCACATGCTAGAAAGAGAAAACTTGGTGCTCCAAGGCTCCCTGGCTTTCCAAAAGTCGAGGAGGGTAGACAGCCATTCTCTTGCATCTTACAAAAGACTGTTCCTATGATTCAAACTTATGATCCCCGTATGACAAAGGAGTAACCTTATCAACTGCTTCATGTCCTAGATCATATATATATATATATATAGAGAGAGAGAGAGAGAGAAAGAGAAAGAGAGAGAGAGGGAGGATCAAATGAGAACAAGGTCAAAATAAGAAAACGAGAAAATGTCCAAATCACATGTGATTTTACATGCCATTACGAAAAAGGTCAAAACAAGGGTGAGCGGACAACCTGACCCGCGACCTCAGATCGTGCCAAAGTTGTATAAATCACATGTGATTTTACACATGATTTTAGTGTGAAATCACATGTGATTCAGCCATTCTTATGTTCTCTTATTTGGTTACAGTTCTCGTATGAACCTGATTCTCTCTCTGTGTATATGTATATACATACATCAAAGCAGGGTAGTTCCGTAATTTAGTCATTAAGTCCCATCCCCTTCTTTTTTTGTCATCATATTTTGGTATGACAAAAAATTTCTGCTCCATTTGGGACAATGAAATTTTGTTCTGTAGTATCTTGTCCTATTGCAAGTCATGTTGATGCTAGTAGTAATATTAATTTTAAGTCATGTTTCATGTTTTCTTGGTTCTCGTTTGTTAATTACATTTAGAGATAATTCTCTTTCATCTTGTACTCAATGTGTGCGGTTTAGTTAATGTACCTACACCATCTACAGATAGAACACTAACACGTACAAAAATAATTAACATATCTACCTGGAAATCTGATAAATCCTGGCTTCATAGCTGCAACCATTTTATATAGATCATTTCGGAAGCCATGTCCCTGTTCCAACCAAAAATTCCATTAGAATCATATCCTGAAATATAAACTCAACATGAACTTAGATGGTCACTCATGATTCAACCATTTGATGACTCTGACACAGATGTCTAAAATGCCCTTCCATGATGACAAAAATATAGGATCTTGCTGGATCAAAGTAAAAACCATCAATACTTTACAATCGTGAGAAAAGGGCAAACACAAGAGGAAACGATGCAATTAACATGGAACATTCAAAAATAGGAATTGTTGATAACGTGGATGTGCTTTTTTTTTCTTGAAAAGGTTGGAAACATATTAGTGTACAAATATCAAGGACATTACAAGTAACTTTACCTTGAATGTATCAGTGGGCATTAACGAAACTTGATCAAACCACATGACTCCTTTTTTATTAGTCTTCAACTGTAGTCTAGAATTACGATTGCTCCCGTTTGCTTCCAATTTAACCTCCATCTTTGTCCAGTTCAGTACGCCACTTGCTCTGGAAAAACAATATGGAGGTGCTTTAAGTTCCATTGTCCAGAAAGGGTCTTAAAGGTTAACCAAGTTGGTAACGATGAATACAACTTACATGATGTTTGTATTAGCCAGTGTTTGCATGCCAATGGAGTCGGTCAATGACACTGAGACATTGATGGGTCCCAGTGATCGAATATACAAAACTAAATTGTAGGTCTTCCCTTGTTCAATATTCTACAAGAAAGAAAAAAAAAGGACAATTTCCACATGACTAGTGAATCTTTTGGAAGAAATAAACATAAAAGTAGGTTAAATAATCGACCATCCGTCCCAAGAAACAAATCCATCTTTCACCTTTTTTATTTTCAGAGTTATATTTTATCTTTGAAAATTGAAAAGCCTTATTTTGTGTATGTACAATATTGGTAAGTACTAAGTTTTAATTACCTAAGGAACAAGCCATAAAGAAATTGAATGGAAAGTAGTCTCCTTTTTTGGGAAGGAAGAAGTAAAACTACAAGTCATGCAAGGGAGTCCTGTTTTAGTTCTATTTCATCAGAGTCTGTTTAAATTTCTTGGGATATATGCAACAGCAACAGTTCTTTTTGGAGGGTAAAGCCAAGCAATGTTGATTCTTCTTTTTGGGGAATGGAGGTAGTAATGACTAGTCTTATATGTGTTCCACAAAATGGTCGAATGAAAAGAAATTGAACTTACATAAGAAATTTATTACGTATAAAACATAAAAATATGAATTATAATTCTTACCATTCCCCAATAGCCAGGATTATATATACCAACACCACCAACGGGACAAACATTGGCCCCATCATTGTCACAAAGCACCTCCATCCGAAGTGCAATGGGATTTCGCTTGAAACATGAAGAAAAGTCTGTTGATACTCTTAGCAACGAATCATCCCCAACTATTGACCACGGATCGATGATTGAAGGAGAATGTTGTCCTCCAGATTCAAAACCTAGTTTAAGAAATTACATGACAACACCTACAATTATCTATTTATATCAATATAGTTAAAAAAAACTATTTGATAATTAGTAAAATATCTAAATGCGACTTAATATGAGGAATAGACGAATCCCATAGACCAAAACCAATGTTATCATGGGCTAGACTTGGACCATTTCTCTTTCATATATGTTGGAACCTCCCTTCTCTCCTCAACGGCTCTTTTGATGAGTAATATGATTGGGTTCCACATATTTTCACATGGTAACGAAGCCAAATTCTACCAATCTAGGGACAACACTATGTGATAATTGATATTCTCACTCTGGCTAGCCCCTTCTCAACATTTTGGGACAATATGTGCCCATCTAAGGTACATTGGAGGGGACTGTTTTGGAGAGTATTCTGATTCTGACAAAATGCTATTAGAAAGAAGGTAACTTCGGAGCTAAACATTGTCAAAAAGAAAAATGTTGCATTTTTTTTAGTCAAAGGGAGTACTATATCACATTATTCTATACATTTGTGCACTTACCTCTATTGCTTACTAACTCCGCCCACAACCCACCCGCACCAGCATGGTTGATCTCCTGTGTAAGAGATCACAATAAGAACTTTGTTTCAGCCCGAAAAGTGAAATTCAGAAGTTCATAACAACCATAAGACAATATATACCTCAAAAAAAATGCCAAAAAGGCTTTCAGGCATCTTCCTTGTGGAAGTGTGAGAAGCATTTACAACCAGCAATGCATTTGTTTCCCACAAAGTCGCCGAACATCGGAACAAAACACAACACAGGATTAGAACGCCAAGCACGGGAGAACGTTGATCACAGCTTGTACCCATTACTTGTTCACAGGACCCTCAAAATCTTTCCACGGGCCTATCAATACAACAGGGAAGCAAGAAAAGGAACATATAACAAATTCAGTTACATTTGGAAAAAGTAGCAGTAAAGCATAAACACAAGTCCAGATTCTTTAACAGCGTACAGTCATCTCATTGCAATCATTATTTATAGAACTCTGGATAAGAGGCAACACGTAGGACCAGTTTTCAGTTTTTCTTTTCTTTTTTCTCTACTGATCATTGAAATGATGAAATTTATAGAATGTAGCAATTTTTGGCATCAGCTATAGACAAGATAATGCTGCCATCAAATGTGAGGTGCTTCACAAGTGAATATTCCTAATATCCATCATTTATAACAATATTTTTTTTGGTTTTCTCCTTATCTTTTCTTGCCTATAAATCAGTAGACCTCTCCATATAGAGTAAACTTACACGGGTTATCAAAATTTCTTAAACCGAAAATGGTGACCCTGTTGCAACCTGCACCAACGCTCCTTCAGTTAGGCTTGGAAGTCTTTGTACACCATCTTTTCAGAAGTGTTTTATGATAGTTTACAATAACTTTTGGGAACTCTTACACAGTTGAATCCGAGATTCATTTAGAATATGAATATTTTATTATGCTAAAATAAACTTGAATGTTTATGTTCAGTTTCAAACATATGAGAACAGAACTTAAGTACTGCTCTATCAACCTGGTTATGTACTCCCTCAGTTCCAAATCACCACAGGTCCTTTCTTTTTCCTCGTAAATTCTTTCTTTCTCCTCATAAAACGGAAAAGTTGTGAGCTTGGTAATTATATTGTTTGGCTTCATAGATTTACACGTCCCAAGATATCTGCAATAACTTCTATTCTTGGATATCACAAATTAATTGCAATGACTCCTTTCCGGGGAACTTTTAGGTAAACTACCTATTTGACCCTAATTTCAATGATCACAAATTCAGGAACTTTATATTTTGTTTCCCACACGCCGAGGACTTCATGGCAACGGTCAATCTACTCTTTAAGTTTAGAGATTGGATCTATGTACATCCCACCCTCCACAAACTCCATCTCCTGATTCGTTTGGTTGGTTTACCTATTTGACCCTATAAACATTGCAATTATTTTGGGACAAAGGGGCCTTGTGCTTAACTTCATATGACATTTAATGGAATTTTTTAGTATCAGGCAAATGTGTGAAAGACTCTTCGTAATCATAAAATAGAACATGAGATTGTTGTGATGGGAGAGTAAACATTAGAGGTACAACTCTGGGGTCTAGTTTATTGCTTCTGAATGCTTGTACTGTACAAACTGCAATTGCATTAATAGGTGATACTCGTGTGTGATAAAATTAACTCCGACAGCTCATTCCCACACTAACATTAGAAAACAAAACATGGCATAATGAATATTGGTTTCATCATCATAATGGCAAAAAATATAGATGTTGCTATATGCACTAATGAAAATGTAAAATGTAAAAAGTAAATCTGCCTGTAGAAGGAAGTTAGTAGGTAGGTTCCAAATTTTGCATATTTAGTATCAAGTGTACTAGTAGCCATCACCATCTTCTTTAAAACTAAAAATACGCATCAAACTTCTATGGTGAAACATGAATTACTTCTATTTGTAGAAAAAGGGGCAATAATAAGCGACTTAGAGAATGAAATGAAAGGGAAATAACACCATACCTAGATAGGAATGTACTAAATGTCAATTTATGATTTCTGCTTAACAAACTAAAATAAAGGCCAAAGTTAAATTGGGGAAGTCCAGGCTCAGAAAAATCTAAATCAAAATTACGGATGCAAACAAGCAATTGAAGGAGTTGCATTAATTATAAGCAAGACTACTCAATGATCAGAAAGAACAGAACTACAAAATCGTCGATTGACTTAAAATGGGTAAAGAATTAGCTCAGAAGAATAGCAAAATCCGATGATTATATTTAAGAAATGATTACCTAAACGGGAGAGAAACTCAATTTGATGCATGCAGCCCACAAGAGAGAGAGAGAGAGAGAATTGCAGTGACGAATTGAAAAGTGTGGAGCTTTAAATAGCAGAGAAAGTGAGTATGAAGAAAGAGTGAAGTGTTCGATCACCGATCAACGATCACGATCAACGATCAACGAGGTTGCTTAACAAGAAAAGATTATATTGGAAAGAAAAAAAAAAGTTGTTTGCATGAGAACCGAGAAGGATGAAGGAAGGTCGGAGGGAGGAGGGATGTGGGACATGGAGGAGGGTCTCTGTTTCTTTTTTTCTTTGCTTCAACGTAAGCAGGCCTTATCCCTTATCGCTTATTTTAGCAGAGATGTTTTGGTAAGCCTTGAAAGCGTCGTCAATCGGTTCAACAAGTCCCACCTTGCACGCCTCATTCTCCACGTTGCTTTCTATTCATTAAACTATCTAATTTCTTTTAAGAGATGGGGTGGTATACATGTTGGACCATTTGGAATATTCTTAAAACTCAATCCACATATTACAAAAATCTTTAGCCTAACTCATTTAAAATTATAACTCAACCGTTATAAGTTGTAGCGTGTTATACGGTTTGATAAATGAAATACGATAAATCTTATATATATTAAAGAAGAAACCACGTCCAGTGACGTGGCCTCTTCTAAGGCCTAAAAATTGATTTCTCTGCTTTCCCCTTTTCTCAAGCTTTATCAGTTAATATTTACTTAAAACCTTTCAATATTCACCGGCTTTCTTTTCCGTTTCCGTCTCCATTTCCACCACTTTCGTTGATCCGAGATGGTCGGAAGTGGGTTTCTTCTCTGCCATAGTTGTCATGGTTCCCGCCTATCGACACATCAATTCCTAAACCCTAGCTTTCTCTGGCTTTCTTTCTCTCTCTTTCTTCCCCCTTTTTTAATACTTTTTGTTACTTCTGGTAAGTAATTAAAGAAAAGAATACATATTTTTCCCTTGAATTTTGTAATGCTAAAATAGGCTATGGTTAATCACTGTTTTAATCGGAAGGGATCTGGATGGTGATTTTTCTTTAATTTTTTTTCGTTATTGAATTTGATTCAGGAAAGAAAAAGATTGGGTCTTTTTGAGGGTTTGAATACATGTCCATCAATCAACCAAGGGGTGATAAGAACGAGCCGTCACAGCACAGAAAATTGGGTCGATCCGATAACGCTGCCTTGCAAAGGAACTACTCCGGGGGTGGCGGGAAGGGCGGCGGCGGAGGAGGTAGTACCACCGCCCCACCATCCTCCTCTTCATCTTCTTCTAATAGAAGGTAAAACAAAATTAGGTTTTGTTATATTATCTATTCCTTTGTGAATTTAGGGTTTGTTTTAACGTATTTTTGTTTCAAGATATGATGTTTGTGATCTGTTTTGCAACCGCCAAAGTAAATAAACCAAACCCCATCGAGATCCCATTAGGTTCAGACCTTGCTCTTCTACGCTTCTCTGCACGGAACACGTGCAGGGCAACTAAACAAGACAACTGACTTCTTTTTTCCTTGCGAAGTGAAGAAGATCCGTAAGCGAAAAATCTGAGTTCAAGATTTCGATCGATCGAACCGACCAAAGATATAGATAGATATAGAGGAAGGGGATGGCTTTTATGGCGGTTTTGGAGTCAGATCTACGCGCGCTCTCCGCCGAAGCACGCCGTCGGTACCCGGCCATCAAAGACGGAGCTGAACACGCAATCTTGAAGGTTAATTTTACTTAAAAAAATGAATTTATGTTATCTTCTTTCCTTACGTTGCGACATTTCTGCTCGATTGATTTCATTTTTGCACCACTTTCATTGATCCGAGTATGGCCGGAAGTGGGTTTTTTCTCCAAAAGCCCTTAACAAAAAGTTAAACCAATATAATGCAATGGTTTTTCAGAGGTATCAACAGGTTGTAATTGTTAGTTTTTTGTTTTAGTTACAAATTGTCCATATATTTGTTTTTTTTTTCAATTATAATTATGCTATATTGTTGAAGAAAAACCCCATAGGTGTTGATTCTGTCCCTTGGTAACAGAAGTCAGGTCAAAGCTTTTGTTGGATGTGCATAGTGTGAGTTTTTGCAAGGAAAGCTTAAGGAAACACTAGATTCTTAAAGATGTTTATAAATTATCGAATTTTCATTATAAATTAATCATCGTTATAAAAAATAAATCGATAGATCAAACTATAATCCAAAGGTAAATTCGATCTCTAATAAGTTGTCGAAGTGTAAAAATACTCACACAAAGAGATAATAGTTCGAACGTTATT